GGGGCGTCCCGGCAGCTCCCGCCTCCACCCATGTTCCCCACGCCCGAAGCACATGTGCCCGCGTGCGCCTCACACCCCGGCCCAGGGCCGGCAGGAGGCTGGCGCCCGCGGGCGTGAGAAGGAGGCGGCGCCCTCACCTGGCACACGTGCTCCTTCCTGGCCGTCAGGCCTCGCTCCGACTTTTTTGAGGAGACGGACACTTCGGTCTGAGTCTCGTCGGCACTTTCGTCTGGGGACTCGGAGGGCTCGTCGCCCACGCCGTCCGAGACCTGCAGGTGGAGGAGGTGGACGACAGTTCACTAGTCGCAGGAGCTCCAGGGACAGGCCCGCTGGGCTCGGTCCACGTGCACACACGTGGTACACGCACGTGGTACACACACGTGGTACACGCACGTGGTACACGCACGGCGCGCGCACTGGCCTCTCCACTCGCCTGCGCGGCCAGCTCTTCTCAGCAGCCTGGTCACCAGCGGGTTCTCCGGTAACAACGTGGAGAAGCTGGACAGAAAGTCAGAAACGGGCCTCCTCCCAGCACACTTGCAGGGCACGTGCACACGTGTGCGCGAGGGAGAGGGACTCGCCCTGACGGCCTCAGACAGGAAGCGACGTCTGTGGGAGGCACTGTGCTGGCACAGGTGGCCGCAGGCGGGCTTTGGGACGGGGGTCCTGGCCTGTTGTACCCGGGGGGGAACGGTCCGGCTACTTTAAGTAAAAGGAACATCAGTGCCAGCGAGTTTCTGAAAGAGCCAACGTGCAGTCAGAATGCGGCCTTCGCTCCGAGCGAGGCTCCGTGTCAATCCCTGCGTGTCCTCCTCCCTCGGCGAGGCCGGGAGCTGCCTGTCAGCCTGGGGCCGGGTGACGGCCTGGAGGCGGGGCAGCTCCAGCCGTCTCCTCCTCGGGGCTTCCCTCCCCTCCCTGACCAGCATCCCCTCCCTGACCAGCAAGCCCGTGTCTTTAAATAGAAACCAGTAAAACTCTCATTAGGAAACTCCCATTAGCAGTTGGAGACTTTCTTAAATTCAGTTCTCAACTGAACAAGAGATAAATACATCTCACGTCCAGTAAATGTTGAGAAGTGAATTTTCAACTGAGCAAACCTATGAACTGCACTTCCTGCCCCCAGGAGCCATGGGCACGGACGTGTCCCTGGTTGCTGTCCACCCGTGGACAGAGCAAGGAAGGGGAAGAGGCCCCATTGAAAAACTCGCAGAGACGAGTGCACAGCCCACAGACAACGCCCTGCTCTGCAGCCTCATCGACGACCTTTGTCTAGAGTCTGGGCCGGTGACGGCGAACCTCTGAGCTCGGCGTGTCAGCGTTTGAAAAACCCTAACTTCACTCTGGTGCCGGGTCACATATAGACATTTTTTGATATGTGAAACCATAGTAAAACAAAGACTTATGTTTTTGGTATTTATCTTATATATTTAAATGCCATTTAACAAAGAAAAATCAACCAAAAAAATGAGTTCGCGGGTCACCTGACACGCGTGCCATAGGTTCGCCATCACTGGTCTAGACTCACATTCCTGCGAGCACACCCCACTTGGCGTGAGAGGGCCGGCTTTCGGAGGGACCCAACAGATGGTGGGGGCGGGTGACAGGTGTGGCCACTGTCCAGCCTCAACACGCTCGTGTCTGACACCCCATCACCTCAGTCTTGAGAGAAAGGGACCTTTTAACCGGTTTCCTCGTGTTTTCCAGGAGGACGGAAGCAGCAGGCGAATGACACGTAATTCCGGTCGGTCACGTGGCTGCCTGGAGGGAGGCGGGGCTCGCAGCCCTCCTGACCCGCCCTCCTTCTCTCGCACCGACACCCCAAGAAGGCGGCCTGCGGGATGCTCTGAGCC